TTATTTGTTTTTATGTGGTGCTGAGGATTGAACCCAGTGCCTCGCACATGGTAGGTGAGCTTTCTACTGCTGAGACACAACCCCAGCCCCAAGTTTTTCTGATTTCTTAAAAAAGACTTTGACCATGAACTAGTTAGTAATCACTGGCCCCTGTATGGTTCTTAAACTTGGACTTCCATGGGGATTATGTGAGGAGATTTTGTACAGTCAACTTTCTAGGCCCCATAGAAGAAACAGATTTTTTGCTACTTTGACAAAATGCAGATAGGTAGATCCGAGTTGGGTGATGAGTGCCGATTCTGCACTGCATAACAATCTCTTACTCTTCTAGCTGCCTCAGTACTTGAAGCAGTGGACTTCTGCAGGGGTTTCAGGGCCCAGCTTTCAGATAGTAACCCCTTTCCTTTCTGCACACTCCACACTTTGCCACATGGTTGGCATATGGGCATCTAGCTCCCTGAGCTGGCGTATAGGGAATGGGCTGTTCCTCTTTTTAAGAACTGTACAGGGCTGGAGATATGACTTGGTTGGTAGAGTGTTTACCTGGCATGCACTAATCCCTGGACTCCGTCCCCATCATTTCCCAAAAGAAAAACAAAAACTGGGCAGCATTTCTGGCTCGGAAAGGGATCATATTTTGGGAAGCATTACTGTCTTCCTCTTCTTCCACTTGTCCTGGCTGGGAAATCTGCTGTTCTTTACCAGGAGAAGGGACTAGCAGGGTTCTGCTTTCCTTCAGGTCTCTCTCTTGGTTTGTCAGCATTGTATCATCAGTTCTGAGCAGTTGACCCCAGGCTACTTCTGGTTCTGAGCAGAACTGAAAGGAACCTTTGTGGGAGTATTTTTTATAAGCTCCTGTCAATCTTGGCTTTGGTCTTCTTGTTTTTCTTAGAGCTGGGCCACTCTACATTTTTTCTTTGTCAATTCCTTTCTCCCACTATTTGTAATAACCTTTATTTTATTTTTTTTAATAGTAGGTGGACACAATGCCTTTATTTTTATTTATTTATTTTTATGTGGTCCTGAGGATCGAATCCATGCCTCATTAGTGCTAGGCGAACGCTCTGCCACTGAGCCACAACTCCAGCCCTGTAATAACCTTTTGAATTAAACCTCTTTGACTTTATGTGGTTTCTTTAAATTCCTTCCCCAATTGTTCATTATCAGGACCTTTCTCAGTTATTGTTTAAGGGTTTGTCATCTTGAGTGTCATATTGACTTTTTTGAGTCTCATGCCTTCAGATGGAATCTATTCTTTCCCTAAATGAGTGTTGAAATCATCTTCTTTAAGTTGTTTTCCTCAGTGTAGGAGGCATGATTGGCATTTAGTGGACTGAACATTTTTTTTCCTGCATTGCCATTTTGTGCAATGCAGGACTTTTAGCATCTTAGCCAATGCTAGGTCCAGTGATTCTCAGCCGGGACTCTAGAGGACGTTGGGAAATCTGGGTGGGGCAGTGTCACAATGCCTAGCATCTGTCTCAGGCAAGGCTCAGGATGCTTAAGTGCAGAGTTAGGATGCTGGTGACACCCTGTTGAGAAACTCTTTACTATGGGTTGTTCAGCATTCCCAGAAGATGACAGGACTTGTTTGTTGGTTTCTCTCACTTCTGCCTTTTAATCAGTTCTTCCTTATTGGTTAGAGTTATGCAATGGAGCTTGCCTCTTCCTTGGGAGGACTTAACTTGACAGCAAGGTAAGTTGAGAGTTTATCTGATAACCCTGCTTTGAATTCCCTGAGCCTCCCAGCTCAGCCCTCTTTAGTGTTGCCCTTTCTTCTGTGACCCAGGCATGTGGCTTGCTCAGAATTGCTTTTATCTTTGTTTATGCATCTGCTTGATATCAAAGTACCTATAGGTGCTCTCCCTGCACCCATGCCCACAGGTTTCTTTTTTTTTTTTCTTGAGGAAGATACAGTTTTTCACTGCCCTGTTACAATTGAGTTCATCTTGTGATATTTTTGTAATTCTTGTGAGATTTACCTTCTTGTGTTTTTCAGCCGTAATTCACAATGTTGGTATGTAGAGTTCTGAAACCATTAAGTTTATTGATTAAGATTTGCACAGTGGCACACAACTATAATCCTGGAGGCAGGAGGATTGCAAGTTCCAGCCCAGCCTCAGCAACTTAGTGAGAGCCTGTCTCAAATAAAAAATAAACATAAAGGACTGGGATGTGGCTCAGTGGTAGAGTGCCTTTGGGATCATTCCCCAGGTCTGGGGGTAAAATTGTTTTCTCCCATGATATCTTCTCCTTTGTTTTTTCTTTTTTTTTTTTCCTGGTTGTCTAGTTTCAAAGTTCTTTCTGGCATATGTATACATATTTTTTCTGTCTGTATTTGGTTCAAAACATTTTTTTTTTAAAGAAAGTGTGAGAGAGAGAGACTTTTTTTTTTAAAGAGAGAGTGAGAGGAGAGAGAGAGAGAAATTTTTTTTTATAATATTTATTTATTTTTTTTTAGTTCTCGGCAGACACAACATCTTTGTTGGTATGTGGTGCTGAGGATCGAACCCGGGCCTCACGCATGCCAGGCGAGCGCGCTACCGCTTGAGCCACATCCCCAGCCCCGAGAGACATTTTAATATTTATTTTTTAGTCTTCGGCAGACACAACATCTTTGTTTGTATGTGGTGCTGAGGATCGAACCCGGGCCGCACACATGCCAGGCGAGCGAGCTACCGCTTGAGTCACATCCCCAGCCCTGGTTCAAAGCATTTTAATAGTTTAGTATGACCCAGGCCTTACTGGGGGTTATGATATCTTCTGTCCCTAGCTAAGAATTTTAATTCTAATATCTTTTTTTAAAAAGTTTTTATTTATTTTTTGGTTTTCAGCAGACACAATATCTTTGTTTTTATGTGGTGCTGAGGATCGAACCCGGGCTGCACACATGCCAGGCTAGTGTGCTACCATTGAGCCACATCCCCAGCCCCTAATTCTAATATCTTGAACCAAGGACCAAAAAGCCAAAATATAGCTTTGATACTCAGAGAATACAAGGCCCTTTTTTTCCTGTTCCCCTAGGAAGGCCTGCCTTCTTAGCCATTCACTAACTTAGTCGTTAAGCAAATGTTTGAGCCCCATCAAGAGCTAAATCCTGGCACTGCTGGGGCTTTCTGGTCTCTGCCTTCCCACCTGCCCTCCTCGAGCTGATATTCTATTTGGGAAGGGAATGGGGCTGGTGTTGGTGCAAGTCTTTTTTCCCTTCTTGAATCTGCCCAGGCTTCATTATCTCCAGTGGAGTATTCTGATGAATCTCTGGCATTAGCAAAAGGACCAGGCAACAGTTGGCAGGTTGAAGTGGTCCCTCAGGCTTCATGCTTTCTCTATAGGGGAGCCAGACCACTTCATCCCTCATTGTAGAGTAGATCTTCTTAGTGCTAGTTCTTCCAAATGGACCTGTCCCTCAGTATGGCAGTGCCTCTGCCCTCCTTGTGCTGCTTGTTAAAAATCTTTATGTTCAGGTTCCATCTACACTTGCTGGACTTGAATTTCTGGATCTGGGTCCAGGTTCAGGTGATTATGGTGGGCACCAGGGATGGGAGAGGGGTTTGATAAGTATTGAGCAACACTACTTGGGGAAGACACTGTGCCTGTTGCTTGCCATAAAGTACCTATTCCTTGCATTCCTTCAATACATTCTCCTCCCCGGACCATTCTGGGCCAAATCCTCTTTACCCCAACTAAAGAACCTGTAATTGGCTTTGGTTCCCCCTTCCTCAGGAATTGTTCCTTTCATGCCTATATAGCCCCAGTGTGCCTTGTAAATTGCTGCAGAGCAATTAAGTGTGGAGTGCAGAGGATCTTTTGAGCTTGAAGATATTGGACCTCTGAGCTATCCTGAGCCATGACTGTGCACAGGGAGAGGCTGTCCTCATTCTAGAGGTTGTGTAGGCTGGGTCAGAGAGAAAGCAGCCTGGTACAGGAAGCAGAGCTCCGTGGAGGTGATGCTGAGAGTTGCAGAAGAGAAGATATCTGAGATGTTGGGGGGGCTGTCTTGCCAATGGGCAGGAGACTGGGTTGAGGCAGTGGCAGGAGGGACACTCCAGTTATGTGAATATGAAGGAATGTTGGTAATGTGATGGGTGGCTGGGAGTGTGCATATGGGGTGGCTTGGGTTGTGAAGCCTGCTGGATATTCACATGAGGTGTTGAGGAAGCATAGGGAAATGTTAGGTTGGTACACAGTCAAAAAGCAGTAATAGACAGTTCTAAGCACATCTTAGGGTCCTGAAGTATTTAATTGCAGTGGTTGTGCTTTCTGGGTGAAATAGCATTTGTCACATTGACTATATACATGCAGTAATAACCTGATATTTTTAAAGATTCCTGTTGCTTACAACATAGTTTCTCTTTCATTGTCTGCAGCTCTGGGTCTCATTTCCCCTCTGAGGCAACTGAAGAAACCAAGCCTTAGTGAAGGTTTCCTATCCCCGTCCCCATCCCATTTGTATGATGGTCTCTTTGCTTATGCTGGGATGGAGTCCTGAAATGCACTCATGGCAATGTGTAGGAAAGTTTGTGGGTGTGCATTTACCTTTGGTTGGCTCCTAGTACACAGTTTTATTCATCTTTATATTCTTAGCATCCAGTGCCTAGTCAGTGCTTAACAAATCTTAATTGGAAGAAGTTAGGTCTGTAGCATCTCAGGTTAGCCCCTGCTATGTGTCTGCTAGGTGCAGGGTGTTGAGAGTATTTAAATAGGCATGGCCACCAACTCAAAGAAGAGTTGGTATATCTGTAGACATATGATCACCCTCGTTATGCTCAGTGGACTCACCGAGGTGGGGGCTTGTCTTGGTCTGGGTCAGGGGTAGAGGCAATGACCTCACAGAGGGCTGGGCTCTGTGCCTCCTTAACCACCCTGGTGTGATCTAGTCCTCAATCATATTTTGTCATTAGTGGTGTCATCACCTGGTTTAATTTGAGGGAGTCAGGAGGGATCTTAATATGTGGTACTTTCCCTGATTTGATATCCCTTTATGCTTTGTTAATCAACAGGAGCTTGAAGAGATCCGCAAATGTGGAATGAAAAACTTCCGTAACATCCAGGTTGATGAAGCTAATTTATTGACTTGGCAAGGGCTTATTGTTCCTGTGAGTATTGAACACTTCCACTTCTTATCAGATTATTCTTTCAGGTGGTGTGTGTGCTGTTGGGGCTATCTCTGTGCTCCTAAAGTAGGCTTGTAGTCTGGGTAGCCCACACATGCACAGAAGTGGGCTGTGACTCTGGGTTCTTGAGGAGATTCCCAGCTTTGTACTAGTTTTCCAAAATTCTGGGGGGTTCCAAACTTTGCAGATTTTTGGTAATATACACAGGTAAGAGGAGTATGTATTTGTGCTCCTATTCTCTCCTGTCTTCCCTGGCTTCTGGATGCCTGGCCCTATTTATCAGGACAAGACCTCCTTCTCTGGCTTCTCTTAATAGAGGGTTGGTATTCCCATCTAGGTCTTCTTTTGCTTTTCCCCTTCATTTTGCATCTTTCTAACTTTCTGGACACCTGTGTTCCAGGCTTTATTTCTGGTACCCTCCAACAGGTGCTTCCCATTTATCTCAGTCCTTATTTCTAACTGACCACATTACCTTCACTGGCTTTTCTGGGGTTTTGCTTTCAATGACTGCCCCCCACATCCCTACCTCCCCCTGTCTCAGGGACTTCTGACTCAGAGACTTGGGCTTCTCTTAACAATAGGCTTTGCTTTGGCATTATTATCCTCTTGTCTCCTTTTCTCCATTCTTTGATCCCTCACCCCTTTGGAGACCTGACCTTGCTTAACTCCAGGATGCAGTTCTCATTTCTCCCACCTTCCTGAAAGTACTTCACACCAAGCAACTGGACTCCCTCCAGTTGTTATACTTCTGACCCTTGCTTGCCTCCCAACCTTTTAAACCTTTGGCAGTGTCTCAGCCCAGTCCTATAGCCAGTGCACCATTCTTTGCTGATCTGCCACTGCTACCTCCTCACTGTTAAACTTGGGTCTTGTTAGTCTCTACCTTTCTCTTCTGTTTCTGGGGCTCTGCTTTTTCTAGCATCAATGATTATCTTCCTGTACATGAAAGGTTTCTACCTCTGTCTCACTCTTGCCTTCTTGGAACTGCACTGTTTGTCCATCAGGTGACTTCAGTTGGGCAATATATAGCCTTTCAGGCACCCAGCCCACAACCTCATCCTTCTGTAAGAATGCTCCCCTTCTTTTCAATTCTTACAGATCCACCCTTCTTCTCTCTTCCTTTTTTTCTCCACTTTTCCCATCTGAGCCTCAGGCGCTTTCCCTCTGTTTGATATTGTCCTCTTATTGTTACATGTAATTGTTTCTTGTGAGAGCTTGGATCCTTTTCTAAAGCAGAACATAAAATATACTTACTGTAGATGCTTTCTTGGTGCTGGGTCATGCTTCTGTTTTTTTAAAGCTCCTGAAATTTGAGTGGCAAATATTGGGTTTGTAGTTTATTCTCAGTCATTTGGATAACTAAGGAAAGATATTTTGGAATTTTTAAATGTGGGAGCTTTTAGTCTGGTTTTGAAGATGAGTGCTTTGAATTTTTTGAGACCTGAAGATGGTACAGCTGAGGGCACAGGGTGGGTGATCAGGAAACCCTGGATGGGAGGGACTGGCCTGTGACTATAGCCCTTGCCTGCCATTATGATCTGTTAGGTGCTGAGTAGAAATATAGCTAGGACCTTGTAATCTCTTCTTCCTTTTTCTAATTGAGATTTTGTATTCCACTGATAAAAGAAGTGAACAGCTAATCTATGGCTTTTTTGGAAAATGATAAGAATCAATGGAATATGGTTTTAAATGGCAAGGCTAGGGTGGTGTGCTCACCATGTGAGCTCAGTAGCCTGAGAGTCCACAGGCCAGCTTAAGTGTAGATTGCTTCAGAAGTATCTGCCACCAGCTCACTCCAAGGCCTCCCTTTGGTTTCACACTGGTTGAGCCTGTGGAACAGAGGGCTAAGGGTCTCATTAAACCAAAGTTAGAGAGACTGGCTACTTGAATTCTAATGTGCTTGGACTGAGGTTCTGGGGAGTATCCCAGGCCAAAGCTGAGTCCAGGGAGAGTAAACTACAGCCAGACTGCTCTTCCTGCTCAAATTGTACTCTTAACCATTTCCCTCTCACTTGCCTTCTATAATTATTGCCCAGGTCCCCTTCGTTGGCACCAGCAGCATTTCAAGATAGCATTTTTATTTTTATTATTATTACTTTTTTTGGTACTGGGGATTGAACTCAGGCGTACTTGACCACTGAGCCACATCCCTAGCCCTATTTTGTATTTTAAGTAGAGACAGGGTCTCAGTGAGTTGCTTAGTGCTTTGTAGTTGCTGAGGCTTGCTTGAACTCACAATTCTATTGCAGCCTCCCAAGCTGCTGGGATTACAGGTGTGTACCACCACACCTGGCAGCATTTTTTTTTTAATATATATTTTTTATTTCAATGGACCTTTATTTCTTTAAATGTGGTGCTGAGAATTGGACCCAATGCCTCACACATGCTAGGAAAGTGCTACTCTCAAGGCTGAGGCAGGACCCAAGGCTAGGCAGGAGCCATAACCCCAGCTCCTCAAAGTAGCATTTCTTCCTTCCCCAGAGTTGACATTCTTGGCTGCTACCTTCCCTGAGTTAAAGGAGGGCCTTGAGTCGTTCTGCATCCTAGGGACTAGGCCAACATGGTAATCTTTTACTCCAGATCACCTGAGGTCTGTTGAATTGGGGTGAAAACAGAGCCAGCTGATAAAGCAAGGCAGCCCTGCCACACCCTACCTCAGGCATTTATATCAAGGTGCTGGTTGGGAGTTGCTGAATAAATCTTTGGCTGAAGTGCAGGGAGAGGGAGAGCAGGTGGAGGAGAAGTGAGAGATTCTCCCTAGAGGCACTATATTGAGACCATGATAGTTTAAATTTATTCTCTTTATTTTATTTTGTTACAGTACTGGGGATTGAATCCAGGACCTCACACATGGTAGGCAAGCACTACCATTAAACTACTTCCTCCGCCCTTTTTATTTTTTGAGGCAGAGTCTTCTTCAGTTGCTAAGGCTAGCCTCAACTTTGCAAACCTCCTGCCTTACCTTCCTGAATTGCTAGAATTATAAGGCATGTGCCATCATGCCCAACTGTTTCATTAATTTTTATTTATATATGTATATTTATATATAATATAAATATATTTTCTTATTTATATATAAATATGTGCAAATATTTATATGTAAATAAACTGGGCAAGATGAAATACACCTATAATCCCAATAGCTTGGGAGGCTGAGGCAGAAGGATCATAAGTTCAAAGCCAGCTTCAGCAATTCAGCAAGGACCTAAGAACTCAGTGAGACCTTGTCTCTAAATAAAATACAAAAAAGGGCTGGGGGTGTGGCTCAGTACTGGTACCCCCCCACCCCAAATCTATATCTGTATTTTATTGCTGGGTGCAATGATATATTGTCTGTAATTCCAGTGACCCAGGAGGCTGAAGCAAGAGGATTGCAAGTTCAGTACCAGCTTGGGCCACTTAGAATCTACCTCAAAATAAAAATGTTAGAAGGGGCTGAGGATGTACCTCAGTGGCAGTGGTAAATCTCGGTTGGGTTTGATTCCTAATACAAAAATAAACAATCTAAACATATTTGTAAAACCATTGCTACTATTTCCAAAATATTTTCATCACCCAAGCAGAAATTCTACCTATTAAACAACAACTCTTCATTTCCCCTATTCCCCAGCCCCTCGTACTTCTGTGATTTTTGCCTATTATAAATATTTCATATAAATGAAGTAACATACAATATTTTTACTTTTATATGTGTTTTATTTCACTTAGCATAATGATTTTTTATTGTTATTTTTAGATATACATGACAGTAGAGTGTATTTTGACATTGTACATACGTGGATTATAACTTAGATTCTAATTAGGATCCCATTCTTGTGGTTGTACATGATGTGGAATTTCGCTGGTTGGTGTATTCATATATGAACATAGGAAAGTTACGTACAATTCATTCTACTTAGCATAATGTTTACAAGGTTCATCCATGTTGTAGTATGTATCAGAACATTATTCCTTCTTATGAATCATTAATGTTCCATTGTGTGGATATACCACGTTTTGTTTATCCATTCATCTGTTGGTAGACACTTGGGTTTTTTCTAGTTTTTGGGTTTTTTGAATAATGTTGCTATGAACATTGGCATGCAAGAATTTGCTTGTGTTCCTGTTTTCAATTCTTTGGGATATATATGTAGAAGTGGGATTGCTGGATTATATATTTATTCTGTTTAATATTCTGATAAATCGCCAGATTTTCACAATAATAACCACACAGTCTTACATTCCAGCAGTGGATGAGGGTTCTGACTTCTCCACATCCTTACCGATACTTTTTCATATTAGAGCCATCTTAGTTGATGTGAAATGATATCTTATTGTGGTTTTGATTTTCATTTTCTTCATCATTAAGGATGTTGAGCATTGTTTTTGTATTTTGTATTCTTTTTAAATTTTTTTTTAGTTGTAGATGGACACAATATTTTATTTATTCATTTTTATGTGGTGCTCAGGATTGAACCCAGTGTCTCACACATTCGAGGCAAGTACTCTACCACTGAGCTACAACCCAGCCCTGTTTTTGTATTCTTATTGGCCATTTGCCTGTTTATTTATTTATTTAATTTATCGTGGTGCTGGAGATCAAACCCAGGCCCAGCAAATCTTTTTTTTTTTTTTTTTTAAACACTGAGCCACACTCCCAGCCCTTTTATTTTTCATTTTGAGTCAGGGTCTTGCTAAGTTGTTTTGGGCCTTGCTTCATTGCTGAGGCCTGCCTTGAACTTGAGATCTTCCTGCTTCAGCCTTCTGAGCTGCTGGGGTTACAGGTGTTTGCCACTGTGCCAGGCCCCAGCATACCGTTTTAAAGCTGGTTGTCTTTTGTTGAATTGTAGGAGTTCTATATATTTCCAGGATATTAAACCCTTATCAGATAAATGATTTGCAAATATTTTCTCCCATTCTAGGTTTTTTTTTTTTTCTCTTCCCTCTTTCTCTCTTTAAAGCTGTTTATTTGGTGCTGCGGATCAAACTTTGCTGAATTGCTG